ATTGCCAAATATCTGTTAAAATATTATAGGACGTCGGAAAAGCAAATCGCATCAAGGATCTTCGTCACATCAACCACATCATCCTCAGAAATTCACATTTTATTCGAGCGAAGATTCGGGAAATCATTGTGAGAATTATAGCTAATTTAATTTTAGTAAAAATTAGCCATAAATTAAATTTTATTTAAGGAAACTTGTAGATGACGGAGCTATTCTAAAAAGAGTTAGAAGGAATTTAAACAAAAAATTAAAGAAAATTTTTTGAAATGGTAGAAAAGGGATATTTAAAAGGGATTTAAATTTATTTAAAATTATTTTGGTATTTGGGTCTATTAGTTTTGATATTTTTAAATTTTGGGCAAAGCTGGTTTTGGACACAAAATTACTATTTCAATTGTGGGTTTCATTTCAAATTTTATTGATAATAGTTTTATATTTATTAATTTTTATTTTGTTTTTTAAATATAGTCTAGATAAAAATTTTTTAACATATTATATTATTTTTCAACTCTTATAGGTAGTATAATATGTTTCTAAATTATCATCATAATTACAATAATAAAAAATATTATTGGCTTGAAAAAAATTTATTAATGTCCTGCATCCTGAAAAAATCTTGCTGACATTTCTGAGATGACATACTGTCATTTGGAATAAACGATTCCTGTTTTTTGACCGTTTCCTATATCTGACACTTGAGAGTTGCACGTGAAGTTTTTTAGCATTTCCGACACATCTCTGATAGAAAAAATCTAATAAATTATCTTCGGCATTTGTTTAAAATTTCCATAACTGCCCTAACTAGTTTGTTCGCTCATAAGCTGAAAGCAATTAAAATGATAGAAATATATTCTGGTTTGAAATTTAATCTTCAAGAATAGGGAGACTTCAAAAGATGCGTATCTAATTTTTTAAAAATTCAGATCACCACCATTAAAATTTTTTGAAAAACGGGGTGGATGTTATTTTAAACTTGCAGATTGTCGGATTAATTATAAAATAAAGTACTTGGTAGAGACGAAATTTTAAAAAATCTTTAATTTGATCTTTATTTTGGTTAAGAACCTTAACCACATTCTATATTTTGGGTCAAGGAAAAATCCTAGTTTAACCAGATCCAGGCCGAACTCTAGTAGTTAGATATTTCTTTATCAGTTTAAACGATCATTTTAAAATTTTATTTTTTCATTGAACGGAAAGAGAAAATAAATACAAATTTAAATGAATCATTAATACAAAACTAAATTTAATTTAACGTTTATCCTTGATCAAATGACTAGAATTATAGTGCTTAAAAGTGGGAGAGATATAATTCTGATCATCTGACCAAGAGAATTATTAAACAAAAATTAAAAATAAATTCTAATTTTGTATTAATGATTCATTAAAATTAATATTTATTTTCTCTATCCGTTCAATGTAAAAATTAAAATTTTAAAATGAACGTTTATAGTGTCATAAACACTATTAAATCACATTTTTTATTTTATATTTTATTTATCCAAAATATATTTTTATTTAAAATATTCCAATTTGGTACTTATTTACTCCACCCCGTCAATTTTTTCGAAAATTATGTAAAAATGGTCAATCTGAAAAACAATTGTAGAACCCATCGAGCTGTGTCGAATGCACCAAACTCGACGTAATCGGACAAGATTTTACAAAGTTATGCATTATTTAGACCTACCGGATTCATCAAGTCAGATCACGTCGATTTTGGTATCATTTGTCTAAATTTTCGTCCTTAAGGTTATTCGCCCCTATGGTTGTTCAATTTTCAGTGGTCTGTATTTCGGTCCAATCAAGTCGGATTTTGTTGATTTTGGAGTCATTCGATACAGATCGATGGGTTCTACAATTGTTGTTCAGACTGACCATTTTTACATAATTTTCGAAAAAACTGACTGGGGGGAGTAAATAAGTACCTACCTATTTTTTAAATTTTTAATTTATTTTCAGTTTGTTTTTGTGATGAATTTGCTTTATATTTTATTTTTATTTATATTTTTGAATGAAATTTTGTTGTCCGGCACGGTTAATCCTGGGCAAAGAAAGTCCAAATGGAAAACCGTTTTTAGCAACAAAACATGCTCTACCGAAACATTTCCTTGCCCCGAAATTCTGAATTTGTTGAAGAAAGTAAATAAATGTAATGGGTAAGTATTGCCACTTTGAATGAATTAAAATTGATCAGGCGGGTCATTTCGAATATTATTAATTATAAAATAGAGCTAGAACACTTCAGAACTAGAAAAAAGAATTCAGAACTAGAAAGTATTAGCAAATCTGAAATTTAGAAAACCTCCGAAAGTTGAAGAGCTGCCTGCCTAAATTATATTTTATGAACACATTTAATGACCGGCGCGAGACTGGATCACGTGTATTATTTTGATGGACTTTAAGCTCTCATCCCCGCAATTCGTTTGATGCTGGATTTATCTCTAAATCCGTTTCACTGCCTCTATAAAAATACCTCACCGGATTCTCAAACTAGATTTCCCAAACTGGGACAAATTACACGAATATATCTTTAAATTCATGTATTAAAATAATAAATTAAAATTTAAAACAGACTCATCATCTGTTACCCCTCACTCCTCTCAAACGCCTATTTATTGGAAAATACAAAGTTAAACAATCGTTTTACTTTCAATGAAACAAACTCAACAAGGATTTGCGCCAAATGTATTGAAGGAAAACAATGCAAAGGGCCGGGTGATGTTAAAATTGCGTGGAGTGGATTTCGTGTATTTTATGATAAAAAAGAAAATATGCTTGAAGTGAATTTGGATATTTATGGAAAAAGGTACATATGTCATGAACGCCTCAATTAGTACGCAAATACAGCAGATATTAATTATTAGAAACAAAATTAGTCACTTCTCGATATAAGATGTTTTTTAAAGTTGTCGAAACTAATTCTAAACATTGAAAGTCGAAACGTTAAATAGAGCTGCTTAAGTTTGCTCTCTGCCTAGGTGATACATACAATATAAGATATAGCTTACCAAGATAGACCTTTATTTACAAATCCATTGTCATATCTATAGGTTTTGATGTATATTAATGGTAATATAAATATTTTTTAATTCAATTTTAGAGATACGCTCCACGTAAATGGAGTTACTGCACTAGATTTTCTCGATGCAATTTCAAACAAAAATCTGGACTATATTAGTGATTAAAATTGAAATTTTATATTGTTTTTAAATTTAATAATTTAGCAAAGATAAGAAATCAAAGCGAGGTAGACAAGGAATATTTTGAAGAAAGAGTTAACGGTGCATATTTACAAGAATATTTGGGGGTTTCGGCATTAAATGTTGATTTTGGTATTGGTGTTCCAATAATGAATCGTAATATTGCTTTTGGAACGTTGTACCGAAGAGATTATCCCATTAAATGCCGGAGGGATAAGGTAAGGAAAACAATAAAAGCCATTTACCATTTAACTATGAAAAGCAGGCAAAACCTCGACAAAACCCGACCCCCGAAACCTAGACCCCGAATACTTTTTTGGCAAGAATTCCGACCCGACCCCCGAATGCTTTACCACAGCAAACCCCGATCCACGACGATCCCGCCCCCGAAGGTTCAGGGTGCTACCCTAGTTTTATCTAACAAGACAAAGATCTTTATTAACTTGATTTTATTCAATATTTCAGAAAAAAGTTACAACAACTTCAATGATTCTAAAACCAAGTACGGTCAGCATTGTAAAACCTAAATTTGGAATGACAAAAAAAATAAATAACATAACGCCGATAATTAAGAAAACAAGAACGACAACTGCCATTACAACGTATAAACCTAGAACTAGTACTGCCTTCACTCCGATTGTAGGTTTAACGATAAGTCCTATTAACTGTCGGAAGTAAAGAATGAAAAAGGCTAAAGCCACTATGTGAAACTATCAAAAAATATTAAATTTATAATTTTTTCTTGAGATTTCGAATTTTAGGATTTTTTACATAAAATGTACCCTTAGCAGTGTAATAATTTTACCCTCCACTTCTACGTATCCTTTTTCTTTTTTCCATTTTTTCGGCGCAAGGATTTTTCTTTTTTCGTTTTGTGGCGACAAATTTTACTCGGGTAACCTAACACCGAATTTATTCTACGGGCCCATAGCTTTGCACCAAAAAATCAACATATCTGAAATATTTTATTACAGGATCAATGCAAATTCATTAATAACCAAAAATTGATAGAGAACTACGCATGCAAGTAATCTGCTATTACCTTAATCTAATAAATTTAATTATTTAGTTGTGGTAATTTATTGATGCGAGAACTCAACCAGTATGTTTTAAAAATACAGTAAAAATATCAATCCATGTATAAGTCGGGTCTTCGAAAATTTTTAATTTCGGAAGTGAAAGTTAAGGTATTGGACAACAAAATCAGAATTCAAATACCTATTCCTAATTATAGAATACTATTGTATTATGAACATATATCCGATTAAGGTGTTGTGAGAACTACCAAAAATGCATTTCAAAAATTAGAGACATTGTCGATAATGAGTGTACTTCTTTACCAACAAACATGTATTATATCTCAATTAATGTATCCAACTACAATTGGAAGTGTAATGAATGTTTGGGAGAAAAAAATGATTATTGCCAACACGTACATTGCTTATGTGATAAGTAAGTGAAGTGGAGGCAATTGTAAAGAAAAGTTTGGCATTTTTGTTCAGTCAACTTTATTCAAAAAATTCAATGTTAAATTAGAGTTCAGCGGTATCGGGATTTAGAAAAAAATCGGGATTTTGGAATGGTGATACCGATCCCGACATGGGATTGGGATTGACCGAAATCGGGATTCATCTTTCGGTCTCGGGACCGGGATCCCCCTAGATTAAATATAGAATCCGTTTTAGGCAAGTAATACAATGTTGGTCAAAAATTCCCACTCCAAAGAAGAATAGTTACAAACAAGAAATAGTTGACTGCAAAGCAAAATTTATTGATGAAGTCAAAGACCATCCAAATATGCCTATTGCTAAAACTACTGCCATTCGTCGAACACTTGAAAAAATCTCGGATGAATTAGATAAAATTGCAAAGGAGCTAATACCCGGAAGTCTCGACTGGCCAACTATTGTTTATGTCAATAAAGTTCAAGAACAGACTGACACATACTCGGACGACCTTGACTTGTTATTTGACATAGTGAATTCTACTTTATACGAAGCAAAGCTTAAATTAAAAAATGAAATTGCTAAAGCAGAAAAAATAAACGACGAGGAAGATTGGATTGCCGTGGATATGGCTGCCGATGAATTTATTAAAACAGCAACAGCCGCAGTGTTTTTTGATGAAGAATACCATTTGGCCGATAATGCTTACCTTACTTATCTTTTCAAAGAAGAGATTGTTTTATTGCTGAATGATGGAACTTTAAAGAGTGCCGAAGACTTTAATAAAAATGATTTAATCCAGAAACATTCGACAAATTAAAATCATGATACACTTCTTAAACTAAATTATAAATCGTATGTAATAAAATTTTGGGTTTTAATTTTAGAATTTTCCAGTTAATCACAGTTCGGATTTTTGAGTAAATTTTTGAATAATTGGATCCCGGTAAACCTCAATTGAGTCACGACTCAACTGAGTCCTGGACCCTATAATTTATGAAGGGATGGTCACTTTTTGTTACCATTGGATAAGACATTAAACAGACTACAATATACCAAAAAAATTCCTCAACTAAAATTAAAAATTATGATCATAAAGTTCCTAAAAATTTTCCTGAAATTGAAATTTTCCGATGACATATGTATGTATCAGGGCTGGGCGTAATGAAAAAATAAAAAGCGAAATACAAAACTTTTCGCGCCAAAAAATGCGAGAATGCGAAAGATGCGAATACATAGCATCTTAACCTGTTACTTTTAGCCGTTTTTTACTTTAAAATGACATTAAATGTTAATTATCAAAGATATTATTGGGATTTACACTTTATATAAGTCATAATAATCGATTGGGTTCGAACCTTACACTTAAAGTGGGCTCGCTACCAACTAAGCCACAAGTACCGCGATGAAAGGCAAGTAAAAGCCTCTGCCTATTTTAAGATGCTGTGCGAATAGGATAGGATAAAATAGGATAAAAAAGCGGCAGTCTGAAGGTGGAAGCGGAAAAGTCAAAACGTCCGAGATATTATTTTTTCAAAAATAATACTGTTAGAAACGTCCGAGACCGAAAATTTTCCAGGACTCAACCCATAACCAAACCCCCCCCCCCCCCCAAAAACTTAATGCAAAATTAACAGGAATTAAGACAATTTTTTGGTCCCATAGGGCAAATTCTTGTTTATTTTTTGTACTTTGACATGAATCTTTAAATTTTGAACAATTTATAGGAGATATAATCAAAACTTTTAGTTTATTTTTTGTGACTTCAGCACAATCACCTATAATTTCAAAAAATTTATCCGAAATTGAAATAAATTATCCGAAATTCAAAGAATCTCTAGAAATTCGTCTGGGTGGAAAATAAATGGAATATATGTGTCGGCGGAAAAATTCAGATTTAGGAAAAATTCAATTATTCCGGAAAATTTCAATTTTTCCGAGCATTTAGGAAAAATTCAGATAGTAATAAAGTTGTCAGTTGAGTCTGGTCTAGTTTTTTGTTTTTTCGGTGTTGTTTGTGTTTTTTATGTTTGTTTTTGATTTTTCTGGGCTATCTTATAATTTCCTGATTTAGTCAAGATAACCATGTAAAATAAGTTTGGATTTTTTTAAATAAAAAAAACAACATAAACCTATGGGGAGTCGGCGAGACGCTTACGCGAAACCCCGCGCTTCGCGCGGGGTTTCGCGGCACGCGTCTCGCGGGAGTCAACGGTCGCTGGGTTCTGCACTAGTAACATAATCCTATTCCTTTTACCGATTTTCAGCATTGAAATGCCGACCTACTAATTTAGTTGTAGGACAAAAATTAAAAAACACGAACTAAAAACCAAATTAAAAAATAAAAACAAGGGAAAATCTTAAAAAAGACAAACAACCAAAAAACAAACATAAAACAAAAGAGAAACAAACAAGAAAAAACATACTCAAAAACGAAAAACAAGCGAAATAGTGTAAGACAGACTATTAAATTAATTTAATATCTGAAATTTTCCTAAATGCTCGGAAAAATTGAATTTTTCCGGAAAAAATGAAATTTTCCGGAAAAATTGAATTTTTCCTAAATCTGAATTTTACCGCCGACATATGTATTATTTCAGAGGATTTGGTTGGATGAAGGGGATATAGTTTTATCAAAGAACCAAGAGGGATATCCGAGGGATTTGAATAATTATGAAGGATGGTGAGGGATTCGTAGATTATTGAGGGATTAAGGAGGATAACGAGGTATAAATGAAAATTGGGTGTATTAAGAGGGACCAACAGGAATATTAGGATTTTGGCCCAAAAATCTTCTTAAGTGTGTGTCTTCTTTAGCCAAAAATTTTACAAGTTTGCGCCGCAGGCGAAAATTTTGGAATGCCAAGAGTACAGCATCCTTCCATTTCGGAAATAAAATAAGGAATCCTAATAAGTTTAATTTTTAGAGGTTTATGTTTTGAAAAGTCAAAAGAGTCGAGACCAAGACTACATTCCAAGATCAAGAACGAAAAAACCTCAAGAAAAGTAACGGATTAGGGTGTATTTTAGGTGTATTTTTAGGGTGTATTTTTTGCGGAAAAGGCCAAAAAACGGAATACTGTCGAAGACGGAATGAAGAAGCGGAAGGAAATCCGCCCTGATACACATGTACTTATTCGATTATAACATCCATTGTAAACAAAATTTCCGTTTGTTGTTATAATCTTTTAAAGTTTTATTACTTCAAAAATGTTTTATAGATACATAAACTAGTTTACATATAATGTTTGTATCGTTAAAATTCATTTAGGTATCCAGTTTAATACTTCATTGGTAATTGCAGCCATATCCCCCTAAAATATTTAAATATTAATTTCAGAGAAACAAAAATACTTCGTGGTAAACGAAAATACCCAACGCATCTTTTACTACATGACAGAACACAAAAGAAACACCAATATAACAAGCAAGATCGCCAAGAGCTGCACCCTTAAGTAAAAATGTATAATCCAAAAATATCTACATATATTATTATGTTCTTCTGAACTTATTCATCAAGATTTTCCTACTTAAATATTTCTCAAACAGTGTTTGGAAGCTCGTAACAAAATTTGTACTCGTACCTGTGTATGAAAGTATGAGTACTTAGAAAATTCAAAATTCCAAACACTGTCACAAGTAATGTATTAATATTACAAAAATACCTCGAGGCATCTACAAAAATTTTTATCACAATGTGTTAACCCTTTCTTGTCAATGTAACATTGATCATGCACTATGCAACACTTTGTTACACGTACTAAATATAGACATGTTATTTTTAGAATTAGTTCAAAGTATGATTCGACCCTCGTCCTTAGAGAAAAGAATTCCTAGAGAACGATGGAAGATATCACCGAGAGATATCCTTGTCTACTAATTGCACCCTAATTTGAATAATAATACATACTACAAAATTTGTAGTCTAATATATAGAAATTTTGCTATTTCATGTACTCATAAGTAAAAACTTCAATGAGTTATAAAGATGGACTAATATAACGATGGACCTTATAAAGATGGTCTAATTTTTTCTACTAAGATTCTAATAAACTTGAAAAGACTTAAATCTAATCTTAAATTTACCTAATTGTGTGGCTGGGCACGAAAAAGTGGCATATACACATAAACTAAGTTCAATATTATTTATTTCAGATTTTCCATCTCCACTTGGACCACATGACCATTTAGGCACCATTGTTTCACAATACCGTACTTCTTACATTAGAATAAAAATCAATATTACACTTTTAATTAAAATATTTTCTTTAAAAACTTTAATAGTTAACCTTTCATTTCACTATTAAATTAAAAACCTTTAATTGATTTCGTATAGAGATCGGACCGAGAAGAGATCTCGAAAGCGAAATATTTTTATAGATATCATTCTCGATTCTCTTGCGATACTCCATGTTCGATCTCTATTTCATTTTTATTAACGATTCTACAACTACCAGATAATTTTAAGCACTAGATTTCAAGTTAAGAGCAGGATAATGATAAATGGTTTTATCACCCATTTCTGCAGGGAAATGTGAAGGAAACTAGTTTAATTTCTTTCACATTCCAATGAAAGTTTATGAGTCACATGACAGTTTATAAGTCCAATCAAAAAACAATTTGACTTTTCTTAGTATTGCAAGGTTGGGGTATGGCTCAAAGCATTTCTTTAAGTTCGGGACCTACGCCCACTGGGTCTAAGACCATTTCTTGCCCTATCTCCCGAAATTTCGGAAAGTTATAGCCAATTTTTAAAAATTTCGGAAAAACAATTATAACTGTCCGAAATTTCGAGAGTTAGGACAAGGAATGGTCCAAGACACAGTGGGCGTAGGCCCCGAACATGAATAAATGCCTTGGAGCCATACCCCAACCTTGCAATACTAAGAAAAATCCAATTGTTTTTTGATTGGACGCATAAACTGTCGTTGGACACATAAACTTTCATTGGACGCCGGAATATGATAAAAAAGCGGCAGACTGAAGGTGGAAGCGGAAAAGTCAAAAAAGGCGAAATTATCTTAATCCGAACCAGGGGTGAGCGCATTGCATTTTGCGTTATTTGCGTTAAATTTTGGCCTTGCGTTGCGTTTTGCGTCTTGCGTTATTTTCGATGAAATTAACGCAGAAAATATACCCAATCTGAGGACATAATTGGAGAAATCCGGCTTATTGGACTTCCAAAATTCTAAAAATTTTCGCCTGCGGCGCAGAAAATGGAGGAGGGATAAAGTGGCTAAGTGAAAAATATCGGGGGAATTGAGGTGATAGAAGACTATCAGTCGATTTACTGCGATTAAGGTTTATTTAAAAAGATATCGGGGGTTTGTAGGGATATCTTGCTATATCTCTTCAACCCCTGATAACTACTACATATATGCTCAAAGCCCTGTTATTCTCTAATCTGAGGGCAAAAATTGGAAGAAATCTAGCTTCTGCTTTCCAAAATTCTCAAAATTTTTGCCTGCGGCGCTAAAAGTATGGTATTTAAATACCAATTTTCCATCTTGGAACGGCTCAAAAAAATATCGGTCAGTATCTGGAGCTCAGATCTAAAGTTATCCTCAAAATCACCTGGTATCGCCGGAATCAATTTATAAATACTGATAGCCCTTTATCCTCCGTTATCTCCCTAACTCACCCGACAGCCTTCAGTAATCCCATGGTATCTTTTTAAATTTCCTTGATCGCTCCAAATTACATGATAATCTCCGTAATCCCCCGCCACTTCGTTAAACCCCTTGATCCTTCTAAATCTTCTGATATCCTTCATAATCCCTCTAAATACTTTATCTCTCTCCAAAACATTACCCATCCAAC